AAACTTTTCAAGAAGAGTTAATACTATTTCTCAAACCATTCCAAAAAATGGAAGAGGGGGGAAAACTTCCAAATTCATTCTATGAGGCCAACATTACCCTGATACCCAAAGAAGATAAAGACGCCACCAAAAACAAAACAAAACAAACAAAAAAAAAACCTACAGGCCAGTATGGTTGATGAACATAAATGTAAAAATACTCAACAGGGTCACCTAGTGGCTTAATTGGTTAAGTGTCTGCCTTCAGCTCAGGTCATGATCCCAAGGTCCTGGGATAGAGTCCCACATGCGCCACCTGGCTCAACTGGGAGCCTGTTTCTCTCTCTGCTCCTCCCCCAACCCCACTCATTTCTCTCCCTCTCTCTCTGACAAATAAATAAATAAAATCTTTTTTTAAAATCCTCAAAAAATGCTAGCAAACTAAATCCAACAATACATTTTAAAAATCATTCACCATAATCAAGAGGGATTTATTCCCAATATGCAAGTGTAGTTCAATTTTTGCAAATCAATGTGATACATCATATCAATAAAAGGGTAAAAACCATGAGATTATTTCAATAGATGCAGGAAAAAAGCATTTGACAAAGTGTAACATCCATTCATGATAAAAGCCCTCAAGTAGGTTTAGAGAAAACAAACCTCAACATAATGAAGGCCATATATAAATATATATATACCAAACATCATACTCATTGGGGAAAAACTGAGAGTTTCCCCTCTAATGTCAGTAACAAGACAAGGATATCTACTCTCACCACTTTTATTCAAACTAGAATTAGAATTCCTAGCCACAACAATGAAACAATGAAACAACTATATAAATAAATAAATAAATAAATAAATAAATAAAAGGTATCCAAACTGGAGAAGTAAGACTCACTATTTGTAGATGCCATGATACTCTATAAAGAAAACCCTAAAGATCACAAAAAAACTACTAGAACAGATAAAGGAATTCTATAAAGTTGCAGGATACAAAATCAACGTACAGAAATCTGTTGTATTTCTATATGCTAATGATGAAGCGGCAGAAAAATTAAGAAGACAAGCCCATTTACAATTGCACCAAAAATAATAAGACACCTAGAATAAACCTAACCAAAGAGGTAAAAGACCTGTACTCTGAAAACTAAAATATTGATGAAAGAAATTGAAAAGGACACAAAGAAATGGAAAGAGGTTCCATGCTCATGGATTGGAAGATGAAATATTGTTGAAATGTCTATACTACCCAAAGCAATCTACAGATTTAATACAAACCCTACCAAAATACCAACAGCACTTTCCACAGAACTAGAATTTTTAAAATCCTCAAATTTATATGAAATCACAAAAAAACCCAATTGCCGAATCATTCTTGAAAAAGAAAAGCAAAGCTGAAGGTATCACAATTCCAGTCTAGTATTGGCACAAAAATAGACACATAGCTCAATAGAACAACAGAAAGCCCAGAAATGAACCCACAATTATATGGTTGATTAATCTTTGACAAAGCAGGAAAGAATAGCCAATAGGAAAAGGATAATCTCTTTAATAAACAGTGTTGGGAAAACTGGACAGCTACATTGAGAAAAAAGGAAACTGGAACACTTTCTTACACCATATACAAAAATAAGCTCAAAATGGATTAAAGAAGGGCGCCTGGGTGGCTCAGTTGGTTAAGTGTTTTCCTTTGACATGGGTCATGATGCCAGGGTCCTGGGATGGAGCCCCATGTTGGGCTCCCTGCTCAGTGGATAAACTGCTTCTCCCCTTGCACTCCCCCCACTTGTGTTCCCTTTCAAGCTCTCTCTCTCTCTATATATATCAAATAAATAAATAAAATCTTTAGAAAAAAATGGATTAAAGACCTTAATATGAGACCTGAAGTCATAAAAGTCCTAGAAAAGAACATAGGCAGTAAGGTCTCTGACATTGGCCTTAGCAACATTCTCCTAGATCTGTTTCCTGAGGCAAGGGAAATAAAAGCAAAAATAAACTATTAGCACTATATCAAAATAAAGCTTCTGTACAGTGAAGGAAACAATCAACAAAAATAAAGACAACCTACGGAATAGGAGAAGATACTTGCAAATGACATATCGAGCAAGGGGTTGGTATCCAAAATATGTAAAGAACTTATACTCAAGACTCGAAACTCAACTCAACACTCAACACTCGAAAAACCAAATAATCCCGTTCAAAATGGGCAGAGAGGGAGTGCCTGGGTGGGGAAGTCAGTTAGGGATCTGACTCTTGGTTTCAATTCAGGTCGTGATCTCAGAGTCGTGGGACTGAGGCCCACATTGGGCTCCGCATCAGCATGGAGTCTCCTCGAGATTCTCTATCTCCCTCTGCCCCTTCTGATCATGCACTCTCTCTCTCTAAAATAAATAAATATTTTTTTAATAGGCAGAAGAAATGAATGACATTTCTCCAAAGAAGACATCCAGATAGATGGCCAAGAGACATGAAAAGATAGTCTGCACTACTCACCATCAGGGAAATGCAAAATAAAAACTATAATGAGATATCACCTCACACTTATCAGAATGGCGAAAGTCAACAACACAAGAAACAAGATATTGGTGGATTTGTGGAGAAAGGGGAATGCTGTTACACTGTTGGTGGAAATGTCAACTGGTACAGCCAGGCTGGGAAACAGTTCAGACATTCTGCGAAAGGTTAAAAATAGAGCTACACTACAATCCAGTAATTGAGGTACTGGGTATTTACCCAAAGAATACAAAACACTAATGTAAAGAGAGACATACACCCCAATGTTTACAGCAGCATTGTTTACAACAGCTAAATTATAGAAGTAGCCCAAATGTCCATAGACTTACAAATGGATAAAGAAGACGTGGTGTATGGATATACAATGGAGTATTACTCAGCCATGAAAAAGAATGAAACCTTGACATTTGCACCTACATGGATGGAGCTAGAAAGTATAATGCTGAGTGAAAAAAATCAGGCAGAGAAAGACAAATACCATATGATCTCATTCACATGTGGAATTTAAGAAACAAAACAAAAAAGCAAAGGGGGCAAAAGACAGTGATAAGCCAAGAAACAGACTCTTAACTACAGAGAACTGATGGTTCCCAGAAGGAGAGGGGTGGGGAGATGGGAGACATAGGGGATGGGGATTAAGGAGCACATGTGTCCTGAGGACCACCTCATGGTGTATGGAAATGATGAATCACTATCTGGTACGCCTGAAACGAAGATTACACTGTATGTTAGCTAACTGGAATTAAAATTAAAAATAAAATAACTTCAGAGGAAAAGAATTAAGAAGTAAATCAGAACTGGCCTTTAATGCTGTGAGTTTTCTCAGATACAAAGAAACTATACTTCCCATTTTATAAGATAGGATGTTTAAACTTTATTGAATTCAAGAAGTCAAGAATAGTTTTAGCAGTGTCACTCTTCATTTTCAAGACTGAGAAAGTTACTCCTGCAGTCTGTTCTTTTTACCGGAACCTTCACACGTGTTAACACAAGCCTGGAGGGAGTCCCCAGGCTTATGAGCTGGGGGAGGGGGACCCCTGTGGCTAGCCATCACAGTGCCTTCTTCATGCTTTTCCTAAAGGTACCAAATGCACCTGCTCCCTGGTAATTCTTGACAGTTCCCAAACTGTTTCTACGTGTTTACTTTAGTGGTTTGGGAACATTGTCAGCATGTCAGCATACACCCCACCACCAACTCTGCCTCCCGATTCTGTGTCTGGGTCCAAATTCCTCTTTTTTCATCAGGACGCCTGTCACTGGATTAGGAACACCCCACACAATGACTTCATCCCTACTTGATTACATTTGCCCAGATCCTATTTCCCAGGACGATCACACTCACAGTTTCCAAGTGGACATGATGTTTTGGAGGACATTACTCAGCCATGCACAGCTGCCTCATGGGGGACATGCAGGGAAGGCATGTAATCCAGGCCACCGAGTGGCACTGTTGAGATGAGGAGTACTACCACTTAGCTACTCCAGTAGCTAAAGTTCAATGAAGGACAGCTTAAAAAAGGGGTTGGAAACTCTATTTTGAGATATTTATGGAACATCTCCTAAATTTTATATCATTGTCATAACAAATTACCATAAATTTTGTGGCTTAACATAAACCTATCACCGCTGTTCTGCAGGCAGGAGTCTGGGTTTGCTCTGCTGGGCCCTGCTAGGGTCTCCCTGGGCTGAAATCAGGGTGCTGGCTGGGTACCTTCCTTTCTCAAGGCTCTGGGGCAGACTCTCCTCCAGGATCCCTCAGTGGCTGGCAGGACCCACTTCCTTGAGGTTGTAGGACTGAGCTCCTGTCCTTGCTGGCTGTCAGCATCTGGACGCCTCTCTCTAGTCCCTGTATGTAGGTCCTCCATCCCAGACCCCCCAACGACCATGGAACTCTCCTCTCCCAGGGCATCTCTCTGATTCCCGCTCAGCCACTTCTCCCTTCTGAGTGCAGCTAGAGAAGGTTCTCTGCTGTGAGGGACCCATGTGATCAGATTGGGCCCATCCAGGTAATTCTGGAAAATCTCCCTATTTTTAGGTCTGTAATTTGCTCACTCTGGACATCTAAGTGTTAATGTCCAGCAGGAAGCTAGAAACAAGTATAACCTAGAACCCCCAGGAAATATCTGGGTGACATACACAGAGCTGGGGGTCAGCAATGCAGGGGTGTGCACATGTAGCTCATAAGCAGGGAAAGAGGGAGAAAAGAGAGGGACAATGCCTAGGGAAACAGCCCAGTGAGGACTGGGTTACGGAAGGGAGGAGCCAGAGAGGTCACTGACGATGGGTGGCCAGAGACGTTGGCAAAACCCAGGAGCTGTGTATGCCCCCTACCATCCCACCACTCACTCTCCCGTGGGCAGGAGGTAAATTCTTTACCCATGGTGTCCTTCAGCTGTAGAGACACAAATGGGGCTTCTTGGATTCAGAATACTTTCTCCTACTCGTGAAATGGGAAGAAATGGAGTAGTCTCTATTCAGACACCTGGAGGATGGGCTGTTACCTTGTCCTGGGACGTGGCCTGGGACTGCAGAAGGACTGCCATGTAGAGTTCATATTCATCCTGTACCAAAAAAAAAAAAAATCCATTGAAAATGTGTTATATCATCACAGTGTAAGTTTCTTCGCAGGGAAAAATAATACGGAAGTTAAGGGTGTCAGTTTAGATCATTTTAAAAACTACAAAATGTTCCTTCAGTATATAACCCACAGAACACACAATGAAGTGTATAAAATCTCACCAACTTCGAAGCACATTTGAGCATGAACTGTTGATCACCTCAGAATAGCTTCCTAAAATACCTTGACACACATACAACACATGATCTCCTGTCATAGAGAGGCTCAGTTAGTCCTGCCCACCTGCCAGGACTCACTGAGTTCCATGGCCGTTGGGGGCTCTGGGATGGAGGACCTACATACAGGGACTAGAGAGAGAAGCTCCCTAGGGATGGGGACGTTCTCTGGAGAACAGGCTACTGTATGGCTGCTCTTAAGCATTCCTTGTCTTCAGGACTTAGGCAGTAGCAAGATCTGGAAGCAATCTCCATAATACCCATCACTCTTTTACCCCCTATCCCCACCTCTTTCCTCAGTTTGTTTCGCAGGGTCCATAGTCTCTCATGGTTTGTCTCCCTCTCTGATTCCTCTCCCTTCACTGGGTGTTATACCTAACTAATGAATCACTGAACCCTACTTCAAAAACTAATGATGTACTGTACAGTGAGTAACTGAACATAATAAATAAATAAATACACACACACACACACACATGCACACAAGATCTGGAAGCAACCTCTTTTCAACTCAGTTTTGATATGAAGGTCACTTTCATCATGAAATCACAGCAAATTTATAATTCCATAAGAATGTATATGAAATAATTATGCATACTTATAAAAATTTAAATGTTACATATGTGCAATTTAGAAAAACCTATAAATAATTGGGAGATTTTATTCAGGGGGGTATGGGCTTGAGGATTGAGCTAGCTGGTTATTTACTCCCATGGCCTACTTGTAATTGATGTAGCTATATGCACATTACTTTGAGTCTGTGAGTGATTTTCATCATCTGTAGGATGGAGGCCATAATACTTGGCAGAATTTCTGGGAGAATTGAGACTCTGTGTGCAGAACATCATGTGTGGCTCTCAGTGGTTATGTGGGAAATAAACATTTTTTATTACCTTGACTTCTTTTAAGATGTCACCAAATATCAAAGAACTATTGCAAATATCTTCAAAGACTTCTCCAAAGATGTGCAGTCTGTTGAACTGCTGAGGTTCACATATGCATACTTTCTGGAGTTCCTAGTACAAAAACAGAACCCGTCATTTCAAGATGTCTTCATTTTCCTTTCCAAATAACTTCTCAGGTGGAGGAATAAGAACTTCCACGGGGCTTTCTATCAGAGAGCCCAGCTCCCACCACCCCAGAGTTGGGTCTGGGCAGAGCCAGGTAGCAAACCAAGGGGCGTCTGATTCCCTCTGAGCAGTGCTGAGAAGGTCTGACTGCATGGTTGTCAAAGGCATTGATCTACTTTTTTTTAATTCACTCCCTTACATGCTGTACTCGAGGACACTGCATCCACAACGTCCCCAGGGTCTTCCTCTTTCCATTAGTCCTCTCAGCCAAAACCCTCATCAGGTTTGATTATTTCTCAGCTATGCTGCTATTTCTTCCCTTCCTGCATTTTCACCCTTGCATCACATCCGTGGTCCCTTTGGATGACTCACAGCCCCCGGGGAGTTCACCAAAGCTCCTCCCATCATGCTAACCATGTTCCACAGACATGGGTGACTCTGGGAAGACTGTACCTACGTTACCTAACCATCTACTCCCACCTCACTCTCCCCACACATGCTTCCATAGTGAGTTAGGCAAACCTTTCCTCAGATGAGTCTGCTATCCATGAACATTGTATACCACAGCTGCCAGGCAGTATCTGATGCCCTGCTTATGAAGTCGCCTCCAACTGACCCATTTCCAGACTTAGCCTTTCTTTATTTCTCTCTGTTACCATCTACCTCGTGTCAGATGTTCTCAGCAACTGCTAGGTAAACTCTTTTCTACCTGGAAATGTAAAGGAGGTGCCTGAATGCAGGTCTCCACCCATGACATTTAGATGCTAGGAACTACAGCAGTGTGACCGCAGTACAGTAGAATCATCCTCCTCACCTGTTCCAACTTCTTTTCATGGCATATCGCTGCCTTTCTCCCAGTGAAATCGTACTTCATGAGATCTTGCTTTGCAAGAACTTCTTTTTGGAAGCACAGGAACTTTCTGTACTTGTCTGTCTTTGTAACACCAGATAGGTAGGAGCTGATGTACTGGTACTTATCCTTGGGTGGGGGAGACATCACACACTGACGGCTGGACTCCACTGTTCTGTATTTGAGAACCTTCATCTCTGGCAATCTCAGTTCTTCTCTCCTCCGCGGTTCTGCAGAAGCCTCTTTTCCTGGAGCCTTCCTTGGAATTAAGTCCTCTTCTGAAGTGCGGGAAATAGGCTCCAGAGGGTCCAAATACCTGAATAGTGGTGTGGTCTGGACATCTTTTGGACTCAGAGCTGTATTGATGGTAAAATAAGCCAAAGCATCTTTCATCTTTGCAATCTTCTTATCAGATGGTTTCTCTACTTTGAAGATTTTTTCCCCTTTTGGTCTATTGGCATTGGGCCAGTGATAGAGGATTGTCTCAGGAGGCCTGTAGAGCTTATTGGAATTCAAGTGCCCAGAAGTGTAGAGATAGATGTCATCTCTGTGATCTTTCTGAAGTTTGTTCAAAAGTTTTGTTAGATTGCATAAAGGCCTATCACCTTGCACCCCACAGTGCTTCCATCTCATGTAAACTGGTCAGAAGAGATAATAAGATTATTAAATATTAGTTCCACAATAAGACAACAAAACAGCTGTGTGCATTTGCTGAGCTTGCATATCCCATTCCCCGAGGCGGAACCGACAGACACAGACAGAAAACAACACAAAAGCCAGGCCTAGCAGCAAACGGGGAGCTGCTGGATACACAGGATACACAGCTCTGATCAGAAAGCCCAGTGACCTGCAGGGACGCCTGGCTGGCCTGCTCAGTTCATAGAGCGTGCAACTCTTGATCTTGGGGTTGTAGTTTCGAACCCCATGTTGGGTGGGGAGATTACTTGAAAATAAAATCTGGAAGGGAGGCAGGGAGAGAGGGCAAGAGGGCGGGAGGAAATAAGGAAGTCAGTCAGTCAGTCCAGGGCCCTTCAAAGCCCAGAAGAAGGAGGAAGGGATTTTTGGTTCAACACAGGGTCTCTTACCATTGTAGCAAAAGTTCCAAAAGTAAGTTTAACAGTGTAATTATAATTCCTAATGATAGCACTTAGAGACATTCACCCCTTGGAAATAAAGATGGGTGTTTTTCTTTCTCTCTTTGTATTGAAATGATTCAGAGTCCTTGATCAAACCCCTCAGTGACTGCCGAGCCAGGCACCCCTTCTCCTCCCATCCCCACTTGCAGGAAGATAAGGAGTTGATGAGGACCCCAGCTCCTTCCACAAAGGGCCCTGCTTCTCATATGTCCCAGTGGTAGGGTCTATGTGGGCACATGGTCCAGGACATGAAACTGCAAAACCTGAATTTTTGAGTCAGTTTCCTGACCACATGATCTCAAAAAGCTTACATAATCTCTCTGAATCATAGTTTCTCCCTCTGCAAGATCAGGATAATCATCCTACTCAAAAGGATTGATTGGCAGTTAAATGGAATCATATTTGGCAGAGAGGCCCATGGCCTGAAACAGACACTCCATAAATGGTATATATTTTTAAGAAAGAATTCTAGGACAGGGGACACCTTCTGAAATGCTTCTGGTAAAACATGAATTGGCCCAGACTTCAACATGGGGAAAGGAGATTTCTTTTTGGCCATGCACTGTGAGGGCCACAGAGCAGCTAGCCCACAGCATCACCTTCCCAGAGAACCCTGGAGGAACAAATAAGCAGATCCTCTGTCCCCAGCATGTTACCTGAGCTGGGAAGGGCACTGGCAGCAGAGTGGTAAAGCAGGCCCACCAGAGGCCTCAAGGGCCCATTCTGAACTCCCACAGACCACGCATTACTCACGCTCTCTGGTCCTTACAAGGATTCCATCTGTAACTGGTTTTGTTCCCATTTTGTAAAAGGGAAGCTGAGAAGGAGTTCTGGGACCCACTCATGTCCAGACACCTAACTAGTGGCAGAACTGATTCCTGAATAAAACATTTTAACCGAACTGCTAGATCATCTCTCTCATTCCACAAGGGCCTGACCAACACAGGGGAGGACTTTCTGGAACCCACGCCACATCCAAATCCATTTCCCTGACCAATCCGTGTCTGAAGTAATGATAATAAATCAGGATACGTGGTTTCCTCTGTTTTCACCTAAGAAAAGAAAGGCCCGGAGAATATGAAGTAGTAGAATCATTTCTATTATTGTGTAACAAATTATCACAAACTTAGTAGCCTCAAACTCACGTATTAGATCACTGCTCTGTAGGTCCAAACTCCAACATGAAGGGGTTGGGTTCTCAACTCAAGATACTACAACACAGATACCAAAATGTGGGCCTGGTTGAGGTCTTGGAAGCTTTAGGAGAAAACCGGCTTCCAGGCTCATTCCTGTTATTGACAGAATCCAACTCCTTGGGATTGTAGGACAGATGTCCCCACTTCCTGGCTGTTGGTGGGGGTCACTCTAAGCTCCCAGTGGCTGCCCTCATACCTGAACACACACATCCCCTCATCCCTGAGTCCCCTTCTCATACTTCTCATGCCCCAGAACTCTGACCCCTCCTCCATGGCCAGCTTCATGTGAATAGGTCAGGCCCACCCAGCAGGTTTCTTGTGTTAAGGTCACTGGTACTGTGGGACATAGTACAATCACAGAGCACTCTCTCTTCATGTTCAACGTCTTAAGGATTGCCAAGTACAACACCAGAGGTCATCTCTGAGTTCTACCCATCTCAGGGTGCTGACGAACCCAGAGCACAGTCTCCCCTTGCATTGTCTCATGAAGAGACAAACCAACCTTTCCCATCTATGTGGTCAGATATTAGGGCAAATACTTCCAGCAGTAGGATTCTTGAGAATTTATCCCTATTGATCAGCTTCTTACTTCAAAGAAACTACTTATAAGATGTTAAAATATTAAAAGAACCATTTTTGAAGACAGTTAATCATTATAATTAATCAAAGGCATAAACATTAAAGAAGACACGTTGTATTTGTTGGGCTTCTCCAGAGGACAGAACCAATAGGAGAGAGAGAGAGAATATGTAAAGAGATTTGTCATAAGGAATTGGCTCTCTTGGTTATGCCCTCTGGCAAGTCCAGAATCTGCAGGGTCGTTCAGCATGTGGGATACCCACTTCATACCCAAGGCTTTCTGCTAGAGAATTCCCTCTTGCTCTGGGGAGGTTAGTCTTGATTCTACTAAGGCTTTCAACAGATTAGATGAGTCCCACCCACATTTCAGAGAGCAATCTGCATGACTCAAAGTCTACTGATAAAAATGTTAATTATTTATCCAACAAACATCCTTAACAGAAATATCCAGAATGAAATGGGCACCATGCCCTAGCTGAGGTGACACCTAAAATCCAACATCATGCGCGTTACTCCAATTCTCTTTGGAAAGTGGGAGAAGGAGGCAGCTCAGTTGTTTATTTTATTTCTGAAAAGGATTTGAAAACCCCAGAAAATGAGCAAAATCATTTTCCTACTTAGAATTTTTTTCTTTAGATTAAAACAAGACTTGCTTCACTAGATTTAGAGATTCTGGATTCCATTTCTCTTTCCCAAATTCTTACAATATGCACCAGGGCTCCCATACGGGCATAAATATTTTAATTTTTTTTTCTATCTGAAAACATTGTTTGTTATTTGCATATTCTCCTATCTCAGTCTGACAGAAAAAGAACAGAAAAGGTTGAAATAATTCATTGGAAAATGTGCTTCTTTTCCAAATAATCTGGAAACAAATTTGTTTTAAGTAAAACCAATGTTGAATAGATATTGATAAGACATAGTAATACATTTTTTGGATTAGGTTGAAGTTAATAAATAAATATTTCAAACATTAGCATTTGAAATTTTTAAACACAAGGCATAGTTACTACTGTTTCATCTTTTCCAAGATGAAGCAGTAGGTCTTTAATGTCAAAATTATTACAAGTCACTTCCCTGTGTTTTGTGGTCTTGGAGAAACTTGGAATCCCATAGAAGATAAACATCTTCTTGGACTGTCTCCCTCACCTCCAGACTTAAGTTAGCAACATCCTTAGTATGTGTTAGAGGCAAGAATTAAGAGAAGAGAGCAGGCCAATCCTGGCCCCACAGACTCCTTGCCCTGTGGGGCACATATGGCCAGAGGAGAGCCCCGGGACCTTGGAGAACCAGGCAGGCCAGGCTGGATGTTTGAATTCCTTGAAGAATCCACATGGGGCCCCTTCTGTATGTGCAGAACCTCTTCATCTGGCTTTTTTGGCTCTCCCCCATTTTAATCACCTGTAGGATATTTAAAACTCTTCTCAAGATTGTAAGCTCTCTTTCCAGAACTCTGTGGTTGGCTTTATACTGGCTACCTCCTGTAATATCCTTCCACTGTGATTTCTACTTTTTCTCAAGGGAAGAAACTGTTTTATTAACATTGGCATCTTCAGAAAAAGACCAAGAGTAACTAGTTTGCTTCATGAGTAAATGTGGAAAAGAAATCAGATTTTTTTAAAGATTTTATTTAATTATTTGACAGAGAGAGATCACAAGTAGGCGGAGAGGCAGGCAGAGAGAGAGGAAGGGAAGCAGGCTCCCTGCTGAGCAGAGAGCCCGATGTGGGGCTCAATCCCAGGACCCCAAGATCATAATCTGAGCCGAAGGCAGAGGCTTTAACACACTGAGCCACCCAGGCACCCCAAGAAATCATATTTTTAAAATTAGTATTTTTTAAAGATTGTATTTATTTATTTACTTATTTATTTGACAGAGAGAGAGCAGGAGCACACAAGCAAGGAGAGTAGGAGTGGGAGAGGGAGAAGCAGGCTCCCTGCTGAGCAAGGAGCTGGATTCAGGACTTGATCCCAGGATCCTGGGATCATGACCTGAGCCAAAGACAGTTGCTTAACCAAGTGAGCCACCCAGGCTCCTATTTTAGAATGTTAAATAATAAGGTCAAATTCTACTCTATACCACACTGCTGTCTCCCTCAGAGGATTCCTCAGCAGCATCTGAAAGTCCAGTAGAGACTGAGTTACCTGATAGGGGGAATGTACCAGCCGTGGGAGAAGCACACATCTCCAGTGCTAGAGAAGGGAAAAACACACTTGACAGTACTTATCTTAAATGGGTTGGACGTGGAAAGCAGATTAATGGGTCCACCCAATTCTATGTTCCTGATGAAGGGACTTTGCAGATTTCATTACAATTATGACCTTAGAATGAAGAGATTTTCCAGAATTACCTGGATGGGCCCAATCTGATCACATGGGTTCCTCACAGCCGAGAACCTTCTCTGGCTGAGCTCAGAAGGGAGAAGTGGCTGAGCGGGAGTCAGAGAGATGCCCTGGGAGAGGAGGGTTCCATGGTCGTTGGGGGCTCTGGATGGAGGACCTACATACAGGGACTAGGGAGAGGCGTCCAGGAGCTGACAGCCAGCAAGGACAGGAGCTCTGTCCTACACCTGCAAGGAAGTGGGTCCTGCCAGCCACTGAGGGATCCTGGAGGAGAGTCTGCCCCAGAGCCTTGAGAAAGGAAGGTACCCAGCCGGCACTCTAGCAGGGCCCAGCAGAGCAAACCCAGACCCCTGCCCCACAGAACGGTGATAACTTTGGTTTGCTTTAAGTCACTGAATCTGCGGCCGTCTATCATAGCAGCAGAAGAAACACACAGCGCGGGGAATGTAGGAAGGGTGGTTCCCAGGCCTGGCAGGGCTGGAGGGTGGTGATGCTGAGGTGGGGGTTAGTCACCAGCAGAAGAGGCAGGAAAATCGCTAAGTAGTCCTGACAATTCAGGGATAGCCTGAAGTGAGGGGAGTGAGGCGGGGGCATGCACAGGACACCCCCACCCCCCAGACCAAGGATTCCAAATGGAAGAACGCAGTGATACCGCCTAACATTACAGAGGAGCTCCGGTTTCTTTACGTGCATATTAAAGAGAAAATAGCCTCCAAAGGCTGGAAGACTGTGAAAATCTCCCCGCGGCCCGCTGCACAGCCGCTGCACAGCCGGGGTGCGGGGCCTGCACCCTGCAGCTCTGGAGGGCGTACTTTTGCTCTGCACCCGATTTACTTGTAAGGGTTTTATCTGGCAACTCATTTTCCCTCCTACTTTTTAACTTATGGGAGGTGTACTTACTAAGAAATACCAAAATAAGACTAGCCCATTCTGTTTCCAACCACTGTGTTGCACGGTTGGCCAAGGGCACGCAGTCAGCTTGCGATTTAAATCTTACCGGGCAGTTTTTTTTTTTTTAATTCTTCTTTATTAACATATAATGTATTATTAGCCCCAGGGGTACAGGTCTGTGAATCACCAGGTTTACACATTTCACAGCACTCACCATAGCACATACCTTCCCCAATGTCCATAACCCAACCACCCTGTCCCTACACTCCTCCCCCTGGCAACCCTCATTTGTTTTGTGAGATTAAGAGTCTCTTATGGTTTGTCTCCCTCCCAATCCCATCTTGTTTCATTTATTCCTTTCCTACCCCCCAAACCCACACGTTGCCTCTCAACTTCCTCATATCAGGGAGATCATATGATAACTGTCTTTCTCTGATTGACTTATTTCGCCCTGCATAATACCCTCTAGTTCCATCCACGTCGACATCCAGATGGCCAACAGACACATGAAAAAGTGCTCCACATCACTGGGCATCAGGGAAATACAAATCAAAACCACAATGAGATACCACCTCACACCAGTCAGAATGGCTAAAATTAACCAGTCAGGGAATGACAGATGCTGGCGGGGATGCGGAGAGAGGGGAGCCTCCTGCACTGCTGGTGGGAATGCAAGCTGGTGCGGCTGCTCTGGAACACAGCATGGGGGTTACAGGGCAGTTCTGGAACGCTGAGTACCGCGCACACCGAGCTCGCGAGGCAAAAAGGGGCTCAGACGTTCTGTGCACGCAGCACCACGACTGTGGGCCCCCACCGGCTCCACCTCCCGCAGCCCGAGCACCCCTGGGCCAGACAGAAACAAGTATTGTGTGCCAAACCGAGCCCTGGGACGACAGGCAGGGCCCCAGGTGGACCTCAGCGCGCAGGGGAAGGCCCCCCGGAAGCCAAGAGGAACTCTGGAAACGTGGAAACAGCACGCCTGGAAAGTCAGACCGCGCGCCCAGAGACCGGACAGACGTGGGCATGTAGAGCCTTTATAAAAACGGGGTTCTCATGCACACAGTCAGTGAGGGCAGTCACTGCAGGAGGCCCCGACGCCACCCATGGTCGGGAGCTCACGGGAGAGGAGTGCTCTGGGCCCCTCACTTCACCGCGGGGGAGAATGAGCCACAAGTGGTTTCCGTCTGGCCTCGGGTCAGTCCGGGCTACCTGCTTGCGGGCTCTCACCCGCCCGCCAAGCCAGGTGCGCAGAAGGGGCGCAATGCCCTGCAGGGAGTGGAATTTCTTTCTTTCTTTTCTTTTAATTTCTCATGCTTGAATTTTTGGGGGTTTTTTTTGTTTGTTTTGTTTTTATTTTATTTATTAATTTAACAGAGAGAGAGATCACAAGTAGGCGGAGAGGCAGAGAGGGAGGGGGAAGCAGGCTCCCCACTGAGCAGAGAGCCCGATGCGGGGCTCGATCCCAGGACCCTGAGATCATGACCTGAGCCGAAGGCAGATGCTTAACCCACTGAGCCCCCCAGGTGCCCCTGGAATTTCTTCCAACGTGGTTATAACTTAGACTCCACGGCTCAGTGCCGCAAGCTTTCTCCCAATTCAAAATTCCTCGGGACCAACGATCCCGTTTTCAGGCCGCGGTGTGGCGGGAAAGCGACGGCTTCGGGTCCGGTCCTAGAATCACAGCATTAACCCTCGCCTTCGGGGACCGGAAGCTAAATAAACGCGACGACTGTCCCGTGGTGGGCTGCTGGGGGACGACGGCAGGATGGCGGCGTGCCGGGGAGCGTGCCCTCCAGTGGGTGGCGTTTTGGAAAGAGCACTCGGACCACCGTCTAGAAATCTCCCCCTTCATCTCTCCTCCTCGCAGAGGACACACGTGCGCGCACACCGGCACGCACACGGCACGCACACCTGCACACACGTGCGCGCACACCGGCACGCACACCTGCACACACACGTGCGCGCACACCGGCACGCACACGTCACGCACACCTGCACACACACGTGCGCGCACACCGGCACGCACACGGCACGCACACCTGCACACACACGTGCGCGCACACCGGCACGCACACCTGCACACACACGTGAGCGCACACCGGCACGCACACGGCACGCACACCTGCACACACACACACGGCACGCACGCGCGCACACGACCTGCTTCCCCAGAGTGTGGCTCCCGGGCTTTCGGAGGTGGCACCGCGTCCCTAGACGCAGTCCCACTCCCTGGGGACCCGGGGCTGAGGGGCAGCCCCAGCAAGGTTTTCGTTTTCCACCCCGGGTTGGGAGCCGCTCGGGTTCTGGGCAAACCGCAGGTCCCACAGACCTCAGCCGGCAAACACAGAGTGCGGGGCGCGCACTTACGCTCGGGCTCTGGACCCCCAGCCATCGCCTCCGGCGCGCAGCTCAGGACTGCGGCCGCGGTTACCGCGGAGACAGACAACATTCGAAGCCCCGCCCCCGCTGGGCGGGGTTCGTCTGTTACTGGGCCACCCCCCCCAGCCCCGCCCTCCGCCCCGCCCTCCCAGGCAAGCCTTCCTGAACCGGGAGTACCAGGTTTCTTGGCTTATTTTACTTTTTAAATTAAAACGCTTTCTTTCATTTGAGAAACATCAAAATACCCTTGCACTCTAATACTTTACCAAAGACTAGAGGTCAAAAAAGCAACTGGTCTTTGGCTGGGCATCTTTATAGAGACATTCGGGTTGCAAAATGCACACCATATGCAACCGTACCTGGCATTCTAGTACGTAGTAGGTGCCAGGCACTAAATTATCACTTAGTTATTTTCCTAGTACGGAGATGAGATTACGTGAGGTAAAATAACTTGGCCACCATCAGTAGTTAGCAGAGTAGAAGAATGTAAATGTACATCTGTTTGCAGTCTGTGCTCTTTCCTCAGGCTATGCCATGTGCCAAGGGAAGAAAAGCGAAAAATCTCTAAGTTTCCTATCTTTGAAAACTGTCGTTCTATTTAAATTTCTTCCAGCCAGGGAGGATTTGAGTGTCCTGGCATGGTGGCTGCAACTCTCAGACGTGACCTCAGGCGGGCTACTCACTGCTGCGCAGCTCACCGAGGAAGTGGTGACGATAAGGTTAGACGGTGTGTGAGAGAGAAAGCTGGGCACACAATCTCCTTTCATCTCCACTGGTGCTGGCCAGACACTTCGTAGGGTGAATGCTTTGGAAACCATGAAGTTGCCCCCACCCTAGCACGGCTTCAGTGGCTCCATACGTAGGAGCATCTGGATTCGATCTGGAATAAATAATTAAAGAACAGAAGCGCTTCCTGATTTTCTCTCTCCAGCATTCACAGTCTTTAAGCATCTGACCATAACTAGAAATGCTGACATGAAAATACGCACACTGCGTAAGGGTGCCTAACTAAGTATTGACCCAGGACAAGAGAAGATTTCTCCACATTCTGTTAATTATAAATTAGGGTGAGATGTGTGGCAAGCCAGGTTTTTGTATTACCAATTACTAGAGATGAAACAATGAGTCTTTCTGCTCCAAGCTGTTTAGTGATTGGGTGGCAGGCAGGCAGGTGACAGAGGTATTCTCTCTCCTTCCACGGTTGGGCTCAGAAGACAGACAGAGCTCCTGGCCCTGGGAGAGAAGGCCATGGGAAGTGTGGGCCCCCAGAACCAGTGGGACACTTCCAAGAGCTCAGCCTGTGCTGTCTTCACACTATTCATTGGTACGAGAACGGATTTGGCTCATTCCACATGGAATTACAGATCAGAAAGAAAATAATGTATTTCTCCCAAGTCATCCCGGGTAGGACACATATACAGTTAAATTCAACTGTCTCTCATACACTAAAGATCAGGAAATCAATGGTCACATTGCCATCACACATTAAAACCCACTGCAGCTCTCCGACCGCTAAATATTTCAACAAGGTGTTTAAGGCAGAAAGATACTACTATCGGTGAAACTAACTGGTCCGCCAAGATCAGGAGATCTTGCTTGAGGCCAGATTCCTGTGTAGGAATCCCCAAGAGCTGCTCGCCACGCAAACTGAGCGAGCAGATGCTCGAATTCGTGCTGTGCTAGCTTGTTTTTCAGCTCTGGGTGGCGCTGAAACCCTCGGCAGAGTTACTGAAAGCTGCCCCTGCGGATGAGACCGGAGCGCGCGTCCCCGCGAACGCAGGACTGCACACACGGCCTTTCACCCTGGGAGCATTCAAAGAGAAAACACGAAGTGTTGTCTGCTCTTGACGCTCTGCGAAGAATGCAGAAACGCACGATCCATTCCCTGCTCTAAAGATGCTCGGTGGAGAGGAGACGAACCCGTTAAGGGCAAGACGCGAGGGAGGGAGGAGACAGGTGCAAACTGGCGCAGAGAACGGAATGGGGGCGGGGGTGTGTGCTCCGGGAGGACCCCGCGTTCACCGCCCCATCACCGGCCAGCAGCGGGAGTGGAGAGCCTCCCCTGCGCTCGTAACAACCAACTCTTTGGAAATGTAACTGATCCAAAATAAACGTTTAGTTGCCGCCTTTCCAGCTGTAAGACTTCATTGTGTAAAAACAGACAAAGTCAAGACAACTTTTGTTTATTTTTTATTTACATATTTTATTTATTTGACAGAGAGTAAGGAGAGGCAACACAAGCGGGGGGCGGGTGGGAGAGGGAGAAGCAGGCTCCCCACTGAGCACGGAGCCCGATGCGGGGCTCGATCCCAGGACTGCGGGATCATGACCCGCGGAAGGCAGCCGCTTAAGGACTGAGCCCCCAGGCGCCCCTGAAGACAACTTTTAAAGCGCCTTTGTGCTTTCTAAGCTCTGGAGTGACACGGGTGCCGCGTTTAAGGACGTCCCGCCGACTGTAGCCTGAAATCACACACCAGCCCGACCGGGAGACGCGGGGTGCGACCAGGAGTCCGCCAGCTGCCAGCGAGCACCGGGCGAGTCGGGGGGACGGTCAGGTCGCTCGTGCACGCTGCAAGCGTTCGTGAAGAATTCCAAACACGGAGAGAGAGACCACGAGCTTCCGTTTAGAAAGATAACCCTGGGGTTCGCACTGCAGGCGGTGAAAACGGGCGGCGACGAGAGCCGGCCGTCCGTTTCCCGTTCCACGCGCAGTTACAGCCCCGACTCCCTGCGCCCTGACGCAGTGCCGGCGAAGTGTCCTCCAGCAAAGGCCCGAGCGCCGCGGTCCCCGCCTCTTGACTCCCGCTTTCCAAGGCCCGCACCCACGGGGAAAATCTGCCCCAGGCTCCCCCTTCCCTCCCTGTTCTTCTCCACCGGAGGCACATTTCTCTGAGAACAAACGTGCTCTTGTTTTTCCAATCTTAGAAATGTATAAAAACAAAGTATTTGCTTTGACTTTGCGTCTCTCTAAGGCAAAGGCACCCTCCCATTTACCAGACAGCACAGATCCCGCGCAGGGAGGGCACGTGGCCGGTCTGCGCAGGTGGGGACCTTACCGCAGCTTTGCGCGCGCGGGGGAGGCTGCCGGAGGGGTCCCCGCCATGCCCGCGTCTGCCGCAAGGGGCGCTCTCTCCACAGATCTCAAACCTGGCTTGCAGCCTCGATTTTGCCCTAGAGGGACTTTTCTGCAATATAACTTTATTTTTAAGTGGCATTCAAGGACAAAATAACTACGAGACACAAGAAGGTTGGAAATGGGATGGAGAACACAACTTCCCCAGAAGGGCCCCCACCATTCTTCCCACCTGTGTCCTCCATGAGCCTCCTCTTAGTCCAGAAAGTAAAATACACCTTCCTCTCCTCAGAGTGGCGCATAAAACCGCGCTTCTTTACTTCCAAACTGCCATTTACTGCTTGTCTAAAACTGTTTCAGTGTTTCATTGAAATGTTTTTTCAACTGTGAAAATTGCTATCTTGGGTCAGGATGTTTCATTAAAAACAATGAAACTATCTCTGATGCAATGGCTTCTGGAAAACCAGAATTAAAGCCATCAAGTGAGGGATAAGTGGGTAATGAAAATTCCCCTTGCTAACCACCCGCCCCTCCCTCCCGCAGCCTCCGGTTTCTCTCCCCCAAAACAAACCACATCTGGTTTCTTACTTAGCTTCCAAGAGTCAGGCCACCCACAGACAGGGGCCCCTAACCACCCCCCACCATGAGTTTCCGTTGCACATAAGATGGCAGTTCCTCAACCTGGATTCTTTCTCTTAAAAAAAAAGTCTTGGAAATCATTCCACACCAGTATCTAGAGAGTCTGGCTTTCTTTTTTTCTCTTTTTTCCTCAGATTTTTTTTTTTTTTTAATTTGAGAGAGAGAGCAAAGAGAGTGTGCAGGAGCAGGACAAAAGGAAGAGGGAGAGGCCAGCTCCCGGCTGAGCAGGGAGCCCAGTGCCGGCTGGGATGCTGCGACTCCCAGGATCATGACCTGAATCAAAGGCAGATACTTAGCAGACCCCAGCCACCCACGTGCCCCATCCTGACTTTTTAAACAGCTGTATTGTATTTCGTTTTTATAAAATCAACAGACAACGGGCTAACATGTATTGTTTCCACTCTTTTATATTAAACTCCTGTGCTCCCCTTCAGGTCACCTCTCAGGTGTGAGAGTATGCAGGGAAACCCAAGGAGCCAGGTGAGCCCACGGTCACAGGGTTTGGGACCAGAGGTTGTGCCCATTCACCCAGAACGTGCCACAGTGAGGGTGATGTGGGGCTGGGAGTCGATGGTCCACGAAGATTTCTGGAGACGTTTTCGGAGCAAAAAAGGCGTTCTTATTAAAGCACGGGGACGGGACCCAGGGGCAGGTAGCGCTGCTCTGGGACTGTGAGGAGTTGCTGACTATATACTTGAGTTTATAATTATAAACTATATAATTTATACTTATATAAATATATAAGTAAGCATATAAATTTAAGTATATTATTTGAAAATCTAAAAAAAAATTTAAAGTGTTGTGGGGGTGGGAGGCTCACCTGAGTGGCTCAGTGGGTTAAGTGTCTGCCCTCAGCTCAGGTCATGATCCCAGGGTCCTGGGGTCGAGCCCCATGTCGGACTCCCTGCTCAATGAGGACTCTGCTTCTCTGCCTCCCTCTGACCTGTTTGTGTGCTCACTCTCTCTCTCTCTCAGATAAATTTTAAAAATCTTTTAAAATTTTAATATATAAACTTATTTATATATTTATAATTTGTATATTTCTTTATTTATATTTAGAATTTAGTGAGGGTATGGGAGAGCATAAGTCTCGAAGGAATTGGCAGCAAGGCTTCCATGACCTTGAGGGGCTGGCTGCTATGCAGATAAGGTTATTTACTACTTTCTAGTAAAATATTGGTCTTGAGACCCTCAGATGGGTGGGCCATAGCTTTGGAATATGAATGCTAACAGGTATCTTGGGGGTGGGGTGGTGTTCACAGTCATCAGAGGCATCAGAGGGGAGCAACACCGTCAGA